GTGAAAAAGAGAATATTTCTGAATAGAGAAATACTCCATTAAAGAATATAATACATGCAATACAATGTCACACATATTTTATGTGAATCAAGTATTTTTTGTGAAAGATTTTATTTCCTTATTCCCAATGTTATAATTGGGAAAAAAACCCAACAACAAATCAGGTAGGCTTTGGGACACATGGTGTGTTTTTCAAGTACAGTCACTTCAATAAAAGCATTTGTCTGAAATGTTCATTTGTATAAAGTAATGCAGTGGTATCCCAAATAACCTGTTGGTAGGTAGGAGCCATGGGTGCAGCTCAAAAGTTTATAGTTATTCAGGGAAAAAATAAAAGACTTGTGTAGATTTCAGGGTATTTTGATACTTTGGCCACCTAATTAAAATTAATGGGAAGCAACATTCTAAACACTTGAGCAACTTGAAATATAACCTATCAGGAGTCTGAGTTTCAGGAAAACTCTGCTGTGTTACATCCTGAAACTGCTGAGCCTCTCCCTGGTCACAGCTGAGGGGAAGGGACAGAGGGTGGCCGAGCAGGAAACACTTTGTGTTTTCTCTTTGAGAAGTCATGAGACCTCACGGGGTTCTGAGCTGCAGCTCTGACTCTCTCGGAGAGCCTGTAAGTTAACCCAGGCAGGAAGTGCACGGGGATGGAGTTCCATGCTCTAGAGGAGAGGGATGGGTTTGTGTAGGAGCTGCTGGAAGCGGCGGTGGGTGCGCGGGGGCCGACGAGCTCCGTCCTGCCCTGCTCGTGGGTCAGGGCAGGCACCAAAAGGTGGGTCACCAAGAGACACTGTGACCTCTGCGGTCACAGGGACTGAGCAGTTCTGCTCAGGAGTGGGAAAACAAGAACACTTCACGTCCTGTGTCTTAGCCAGACTTGCCAGGGATGGTGACTGGCTGTTCTGGTGCCTGGGTCCTTGACTGAGTCGATGAGCACTGGCCACCCTGTCCTCAGCTTGCTTGCAGGGGAGGAGAGTCTGACTCAGAGGCAGAAACAAGGAGCTACAAAAATGTAAAGCATCCCAAAGAGCAGACAAACGTCACATTTTTCAGCACTGAGAAGGAATTTGGCACGTTCTGTACAGGTTTTGCAGAACAACGTGGAGCTGTGGGACAGGCTGGTTTCACTGTGTGCTGTCATTAGCTGTCAGCCTTATCTTCAACAGCATCTTATGAGGAATGCAGACACACACTTAGCCATGCAGAGATTTTGTTTGTTTAGGAAAAAAACTACCACAATTTGTCTTACTGGACTTGGCTGTGAAGCTCTGGTGGTGTTACAGCACAGCTAGAAGCAGCCACGTATGAACCCTGCACTCCCCAGCTGCTCTGCTGCTAAAGCCTGGCTGCACACAAATCCCCTGCTTTGCAGCTGCAGTGTCAGCCTGGGTTTAGGAGTTCATCCTGAGGATCTGCTCACTCTGCAGTGCAAGCAGGAGGAAGAGCAGGCTCATACTGTGCTTGTCTTGAAAAATTAATTCCCTTCCACAGGGCCCCCCCCCGCCCCGTGTTACTCGGATTCCCCTTGCTTGGCTCCAGAGCTGTGGGTGTCTGTTGGAGACACTATTTTTATGCATTTAGGAACAAGCTGCCCAGAGAGGTTGTGGAGTCTCCTTCTCTGGAGACTTTCAAGACCCATCTGGATTAATTTACAAGTGACCTGCCCTGGATTCTGTGGTGTTCCTGCTCTGGCAGTCAACCCCTGCCATTCTGTGATTCTGTGGTGTTAGAAATACCCAGGTCATATATCAGAAGCCAGCCATGTTTCAAGTGCCTGTGGAATTCTTCTAGTCTTCAAAGTTTTACAGCTCTTTAGCTTTTTAGGATATTAACCAGTATGTGGACACTTTAAAAAGAGCTCACCATGCTTGTGCACAATCTTTATCTTCAGAGTGTATGTGGATTTTGAGATTCATTTCACTTTGCACTGCACTAGCATAGAACAACTGCAAACACCTTTTCATTTGCAGTTTGCACTACAACACATCAAACATACAAAGTTATCATAAAAGTAAATAATCCTCTGGGTTTGACCACCTTTAATATAAGCCAATTGACTCACAAAGAGAAGTTTTTTCCATTTCTTGGCACTTTCTTGGAGGTCACAGATCTTTGGAGTAGGGAGAACCACGTTTGAGTACCTGACTTGAAAAGAGATTGAAGGGAGGATGAGTGATTGAATGGTGAGGGTTTGTGTTGTGGGATATCTTTGGGGGCACTTGTTTCATGCAATATACAGCACAGTCTTTGGGGGTCTTCTTTCATGGCTTGGATTTGTAGGTGCAACGTCACCCCAAATCAGTGTGTCCATCTCCTCAGGATAATCTCCAGAGGATGATATAAACAATACCAATTGCTAAAGGCACTTTCCTCAAAATGAGAGTTTTCTCAGGCACTGAAATTCAGGATTGTAAGACTGCATTTTGATGAGAAAAAGCAAATGTCCCTAAAGCAGCATGAAAAAGGTACTAATGAAGAAATTCACTCAAAACATCAAGCTTGTGGTGCTGCCTCCAAAGACTATAACTAATAACACAGCTTGGTATTTCAGAGGGATGATTTCCTCATGATTTCACACATTGTTTTCGAATAAAGCAGATTGTGGCTTGTTGTTATGGAACAAAATGACCACATACCAGGAAGGTGGGGTGATCTGTGACTAGTTCTTTCACTCCAGAAAGTGTGTGTGCTGTTTTTTTTTAAGCTCTACATTTACTTTTAGTCCTTTCCTCCTGATCATTTCTTCTGCTTGGTGCCTTTTCCTCCTGCCTGCATCTGTCCCATATCCCTTGTCCCCCATGTGTGTCTTGATGTGCTGTTATGATGGAGTCTCACTGCTGCTGTGGGCTGGGAATGACAGTTCCCATTGCAAACCTCTCATGGTGGGATGCAGCTCAGATGGGAGGACAGGGGTTATTAGATGATAGCTCCTACACAGAAGAGCTGGTTTGCTCCTCTGTTGATGATTTTCTGTTGGTACACATAGGGAACATGCTGTTAAACGTCCTACAGACTGGGTGTGATAGTGTTGCCTTGACAAAATCTTCATCTTCATTAACGTGGTTCTGTGACAGTTTTTAGAGAACCGTGCGTGTGACTGGCAAGATGTTCCTGTTGGGTGCTGAGTTCTTGGTGTCAGGGGGAAGAAAGCTGGCCAGAACTGTGTCTGCTGTGGGATGGTCACCAAAATGAGTCAGACAAAACCCGTGCTCGTCAGGGCTTGGTGTGGAGGTGCTGGGGGAGTTGCAAAAAGAATTATCTTTGTGTCCAAAGGATTTTAAAAGTAGCTCATGGAATTGCCTTTTTAAGACATTTGATGTGACTTTTGGGAGTATTCTTTATCTTTGCTTGAAGTGTCTATGAGTGCTTACTGAAAGCAAAGAGAGAAATCTAAATTGATTGGAAGCATTAAAACTCTGCTTAGCACTTCCCAGACCCAAAGGCAGTTAAGTGGTGATGATAAACACCAAGAACAGCTTCACCCCTGTGGAGAAACGAAGGATCATTCCAGCTGATCACCACTTTTTAAAGTGGGAACTCTTCAGTAGTTGTCTGTGAAAGCAGTATAATAAAACCAGAAAGAG